CTTCACTTATTGAGGAAATTTCAATATTTTTACATACATGCACAATGCTTACAAACTTTGTGATAACACACTTTCATGGAGTCAAATTTGCACAAAAAGCATAAAACAAATTAGAACTCTATAAAAATCTTTACACAATTTATAACTCCAGTATTGAAAATGATGCAAAGATAAAATATACAGCATAGTGATTTGTAAAAAATAATGTTGACAATTTAAAATAGTGGGGACAATAAAACAAAAAAAAAAAAAGAAAAACAAAACTAAAAAGAAAATTTGACATATAAAAAAGTGTCTTACAGGGATAGATTATGGGCAATTGAATGGAGGTAGACCGTAAGGGCTGGCTGGCTTTCACAATCATTAACTATATTTTGAAGTCTGGGATTGCAATGAATAGCTGCTTTTTTTTTTTTTTTTTTTTTTTTTTTAAGGGCATGGCTCTCTTTAGATAACATGTTCAAATTCATTTTCTATGTGGCACTGTTCTTTTTGAAATTGTTCTATGATTCAACATACACCGACACGAATATCTACTTTCAGAATTTCAACATTTGGGATTGTGATTTTTGTGATATAAAACTTTAGGGATTTTTATCTTTTGGGATTTCAACATTCAGGATTATGGCATTTGGGATTGTGTTCTTTGGGACTGCCTTCTTTGGGATCATGATCAACACTGGTGTTTTTTAATAGTTTTGTCTTTTAACTCTCATACTACAGATAAAATTGTTTTACATACCACCATTACATAGCAGACTATTGTGAAAGTGACTTTATATTACTTATACTATCAGGTTTTGTACTTTCACATATTTTATGTAATTAATTAGCAGCTTTTCATTCCAGCTTAAAGAATTCCCTTTAACAATTTCTAGTGGTGGTGAACTTTTTTTTTTTTAACTGCTGGCTAGTGTGGGGATTCAAACCTTTGACCTTGGTGTTACAACACTACACTCTAGCCAGTTCTCCCTTAGGTTTTGTTTGTCTGGGAAAGTTTTTATTTCTCCCTCATTTTTGAAGGACAGCTTTGCCAGGTAGAGTATTCTTGGCTGGCAGTTTCTTTCCCTCAGTATTCTGAATATATCACCTTACTCTCTCCTGGCCAGCAGGCTTCTGCTGAGAAATTTTATCTTTCACAAATGTACATGTATATTTGGGACTCCCTTCCTTGTGATGTTTCTTTTTTCTTGTTGCTTTCAGAATTTTTTTTTTGTCTTTTATTTTTGATAGTTTGATTATGATGTGTCTTTGGGAACTCTGGGTTGAATTTGACTGGTGATTTCTGAACTTTCTTTACCTTAATGTTGGTTGGCATATTTCCCCAGATTTGGTAAGTTTTCCCCCATTTTTTTTTTTTTTTCCTTTTTGTCTTTTTTCGTGTCCGGCAACGGATCGCAACCCTCAGTGTCGCGCCCACACCGGACCGGGACCGGCCACGGGATCGCAACCCTCGGTGTTGCTCCCGCACCTCGCTCAGCCAGTGAGCGGGAACCGGTCTGTATGTGGGATCCGAACCCTCGGCGGGAGCGCTGCCGCGCTTCCCAAGCAGCGCACTGTAGCAGTGCGCCACTGGGCTGGCCCTCCACCATTATTTCTTTAAACATGCTTCTTGGACCTTTTATTTTCTCTTCTCCTTCAACTTCTACTATGCATCTGTTTGTTCTTTTGATGGTGTCTCATGATTCCTGTATGCTTTCTCCATTCTTTTTTTTCTATTGCTTCTCTAACTGGATAATTTCAAATGCCATCTTTGAGCTCACTAATTTTTCTACTTGACTGAGTCTGCTGCTGAAGCTTTCTATTGCATTTTTCAGTTCAGTTATTGTATTATGATTTCTTTTTAGTTTTTTTTTTTGTATCTATTTCTTTGACAAACGTTTATGTGTACTGTTTTCTAGATTTCATTTAATTTTCTATCTGTGTTTTCTTGTAGTTCTCTTGGACTTCTTTAATAGGATTATTCTGAATTCTTTGTCAATCACTTCATTGATCTCCCTATATTTAGGATCCACTATTGGAGCTTTATTCACTTCTTTTGGTCACATCTGAATTCTTTGTTTCTTTATAATCCTGTTTCTTTATAAACCTTGCATTGGTGTCTATGCATGTGAGGGAGTGGCCACCTCTTCCAACCACAGGTGTTCTATGGCAGATATAGTCCTTCACTATTTTGTCTACCCTGGGATACTGGATGGACCAGCTGGTAATGACCATAGACAGGCAGAGCTTTTTGTTAGGTTTTCTAGTTGGGTTGTGTTGCTGCCTTTGCTGTGAGGTTGGGTGGGGATGTTAGCTGGGCTCTGCCATTTGGTGAGGACGACTTGCCCTATGGTCAGGTGGAGCTGCTGGCCTCTAATTGGGCAGGTTGCAGGCTGCATTCATGGACTGGTCAGTACTGCTATCTGAGTTTTGCTGTTGCATAGGGCTGAAGACTTGGCTCCAAGTTTAGGTGGGATCACTGCTCACAATGGGTGTGACCAGAGGCTATGTCCTGTAGAAATGGATGGTTGAGGCCTGTCTCCTTTCTGGAGTGGAGCCTTGGAGTGGACTCTGAGGCTGGGTCAAGTTGATGTTTAGACTCCCAGGTTAGACAGGGCCAGTTCCTATGCTTTGTAGAAATGTATGGTTGTCTACCTGCCTCGGTGGAGCCTTGAGGTAGGCTGAGGCTGAGCAGGGTGGCTGGCCAGTAGGAACTCAAGCCAGGTAAAACTTCCCATTGAGCTTCTGGGAGGGACCAGCTTGGCTTTGTCAGTGGGCTGTGGCTAATATCCCTGATCTGGTGCCACTGCTGGCAAGAATAGAGCTACCACCAAAATTTCTGTGCTGGTTGCTGTGAGACCTGCTCCCTTTCTTTATTCCTTCCTGACGGCAGATGGTCTGGCCTTGATCTTATCCCCAGAGTTCTTCATGAGCAAGACAGGAATGGACCATCTGGGAAGCATCTGAGAATGCTGGGAAGCTAGATGATGTCTGCCTCCAGATTTGTTTTCCCACTGCAGACACCGTAGGCCAGGGGAATCCTCCCTGTGTGGCAACATGCCAACTTAGCAGATGGGTGATGCGGTCAAAGTGAGACCATTCCTTTTACCCCGCTAACGCAGTTTTTTTTGTTCTGTGGTCCATGTGAATGTCTCAGTCTCATTCCCAAATTTTGGGATTTTCTCAGAGGTATTCTTGTCTGTGGATAGTTGCTAGTTGGACTTTCTGCCGGAGTGGGGAGAGTGAAACCTGGGACCTCCTATTCACCAACTTACTGATGTGACTTTCCCCATAAATTTAAACTTTAAATACGATTTGTGTTATGCAGAATGGATGATGATGGTGGCAATATCTGAAATGGCACAGCTCATGAGATCATTTCCCAGCCTTAATATTTTATAGACAGGAACTCCAAAGCATAAGAATTAAGTGATATGTAAGGGTCATAAAGATAGTGAAGGAACTACAACCAACGTTACCATTAATTCCAGTGCCCTTTCAAATATATATAGTGGTTAAAAGCATAAACTCTGAAATCAAATATGAGTTTCAATCGCCATTTCATCTTTTATTTGCTTAATCTCTTTGCACTCATTCTTCATCTATAAAATGGGAATAACTACTCAGAGTTGTTGTGAAGATAAAATGTACTACTAATGTATGTAAAGTTTATCACTGTCTGGCTTATACTGAATTTTCGATACATGGTGAATATTATTTTTCCCATGTTGGATCTTATTAATTAGATAGGAGTTGGACAACTAAGATCTTCTCCCTGTTTTTCTGACACTAGTACCGATTCCTTGAACGGCCCAAATTAATTCTTTCCTTATCTAATAATTACTTTTATCAGAATTCTGTTATTAACTCCAAAACATACTTTTTCAACAGCCTACCCAACATCTATAACTGGATGTCTGAAAAACACCTCAATCTTAACATGTCTGAGTTCCTGATACCACCCCCTTTTCTCCAACTCCACCTGACCCCCATGACATTTATAGCTTTCCCAATCTCTACCAGTGGCAGCTCCATTTTTGTAGCTGTATAAGACAAAAGGCTTGACATCACCCTAGACTCCTTTCTCTCTCTCTCTTTCTCATCCTTATCAAATCTTGTTTGCTCAATCACTAAAACATATCCAGAACAGAATAACTTCTCTACCACCATGCTGATCTATAATGGTTAATTTTATATGTCAACTAGGCTGATCCACAGTATGGAGATATTTAGTCAAATATTATTCCGAATGTTTCTGTGAAGGTGTTTTTTGGATGATATTAACATTTAAATTAATGGACTTTGAATAAAGCAGATTACCGTCCACAATGTGGGTGGACTGCATCCAATCAGTGGGAGGCCTTACAAGGACAAAGACTGACCTCTTCCTATGAAAGAAGTAATTCTGCCAGCAGACTGCTTTTGGACTTGAACTGCAACTCTTTCCTGAGTCTCCAGCATGTTGGCCTACCCCACCAGATTTTGAACTCACTAAGCCTCCACAATCACTTGAGCCAATTCCTTAAAATAAATCTCTCTCTTGCACACACACACACACACACACACACACACACACCCCTGCAGTTCTGCTTCTCTGGAGAACCCTAATACGTGATCCAAATCATCATTAACTCTCCCTTAGATGCTAAGAGTCTCCTAATTGGTTTTCTGCTCTCACTTTTGTCTTGATAAAACCTACACTTTGTGTATTTTTTAAAGTTTGTTTTCTAATCAAGCCAAATTTTGATTACTAAAATTAGTATAAATTTGAATTGTAGTAATAGTTAATAATTAGTATGTTCATTTATCTTGCTATGGCTTATTAATTTATTTATTTATGAAGCAACGATTAATGACTATGAACAAGACAGAAAGAGCTATAATAATTAGAACACAGGTCTTGCCTCAAGTCTGGGGAGTGTGGTGAACAGACATATAAACTAAAAATTATAATACAATGTGGTAAATACAATGACAAAGTATGAATAAAGTTCAGAGAAAGTATAATATCTACTTACATTAAAAAGTTGTTTTTTAGCATATGTTCTAATCTGTCCTTGGTAAGAAAAGACAAAAAAGAAGATTTAAAAAAATGTAATTATATTCATTATGTGTAAGTAACATATTTAAACAGTAGATATATTGGGTTTCCTCCACAACATTAATTACCTTTTGGCCAGGAGCTATGAATTTGTGACAGAGTTCAACATCTTCAGGACAATTTGAGAGAACCATCATTGTTGTAGCCTTGAAGAGTTCCTCCATAACCTAAAGGAAATAACACAGAATCACCTGACAAGTAAGCAACTTTATATAAAAAACCTCTTCAGGGCTCTGTAAGGACTGTTTTCTAGGTTTTAACAATGATAAATCCATTAGGCCTCTTAACCCCTGAATATACTATAGCAAATTAGTCCAGTTTTCCAGGAGAGGTCGAATGAATAGCTGTAACTGATTGATGTCTCCCTAAATTTCAATAAACCCACTTATAGAATCAGGACCACAGTAGCACCTAGCTTACAGGATTGTTGTGAGAACTAAATGAGATAATCCATGTATCAGACTTTGCATGGTATCTGGCTCAGAGAAGCACACAACAAACAGCTGTGAAGAGGAAGTATATTTTGAAAAGTAGTTCATCAGTCATTGGTAAATGAAAGTAAACTTTAAAATTAGAGAAGCAATGAGATATAGCTAAATATAAATTGTATATTTTGCTTTGCTGAAGCATAAAGTAAAAATAACAGGAATCAGCATACAACACAAATCAATACATAAGAATTCATTCTACCATGGGTGTCCTTAGAAGACTCATGGACGAAACTTGTTCTTAAAAGAAAAAAGTGACTGGAATGGAAAATATTTATGAAATCTCTTAAATGAAAACTACTATTTTTGGTTTGAAATCTGTGAGACCATATTAGACCCTCCAAATGTTGTGCTCATAAAAATACACACATTTATAAACTACAGGTTACCTCAAAGGCAGGGATTTTCTTTTCCTCTGTTGCATCATCAGTACACCCTATCCAGGCTGGAAACACAGTGGGGGAATAACTGTCTACTGAAGTAATTTAATACGATCAAATATGATCGGATATAAAACAGCACTTAAATACCAAGAGAAAACCAGACTACTTTATGACGCTTCAGTCTTCATTAGTCGCATTTAGTATAGATGTCTTGCTAAGCTACACTGCATTCCTTGTTTATTCTTTTACCTTCTATTGCTATGGTTATTTATCCTTCTAACCAACATGCATATCTAATATAGCAGAAGAAATTCGTGAGGATGTTGGTATCTGAGGCACTGACAGTGTAAAATGGTAATGACATACAATTTGGGGAAGGTGGAAAACGAGTTAGAATCAAAAGACTAGACAGCAGTAAAGATAAAACTGAAGGAAATAAGCAGAATTAAAGCAGAACTTTCTACGGACCTTGTAGTCTAAGAAGGGGAGATATGTTTAACTTTAGGCTTCATGTAAAAAATGTAAGGTAAACCATTAAATAATATAAAAAGAATGTATAAATTCTAAACAAGTGGGGAAAAAGAAAGAAAAATAAAACCAGATGGATCCAATGGACAGGAATACAGGAGTAAGGAATAACTTGATGAAAGGGAAACAACAGGAGGCTAAAAATCTTTTACCTTGAACCTATATCACTTGTAGTCCAGCAGTGAGATAAGGAAATTACTGAGTTACTGAATGATATATGAAGGATCATAACCCTCAATCACTAAACAAAGCCACAGATTGGATGGTATGCCTGCATTTTTGAGGGACACAATACACCTATCTATAAGGTGAAGACTTTGATCACTGGGGTTGTTAAACTGGGGTCTTTCATGAGCAGTAAATTTCCATTTGAAGAAAATCACTGGATTCCCTCACTTTGACTTTCAGACTGTGCCCTATAAATATATTTGAAAAAAACAGAAACTTAACTGGTCCATCTGCTAAAAACCAAAGATAAAGAAAGAAGCCAGAGAAAAATAACCTGTTACATATAATGGAACAACAATTCAAGAAACAAGTTTATCCTCAAAAACTATGGAGGTCAAAAGACAACAGAACATTTTTATTTTACTTATTTATTTTTTAAAAATTTATTTATTTATTCCTTTTTTTTGTCTTTTTTTTTTTTTCCATGTCCGGCAACGGGATCGCAACCCTTGGTGCTGCATCCGCACCCCGCCCAGCCAGTGAGCGGGAACCGGTCTGTATGTGGGATCCGAACCCTCGGCGGGAGCACCACCGCGCTCCCAAGTGGCGCACTGTAGCAGTGCGCCACCGGGCCGGCCCTAAAAATTTATTTTTTTTTTTAAAGTTTATTTTGTCAATATACATTGTGGTTGATTATTGTTGCCCATTACCAAAACCTCCCTCCCTCCTCCCTCTCCTCCCTCCCACCCAACAATGTCCTTTCTGTTTGCTTGTTGTACCAACTTCAAGGAATTGTAGTTGTTCTGTCTTCTTCCCCCCCGACCCCGGCGGTACAGCAGGGAACCTAAATGTCTATTTAGCTCTTTTGCCCATTTTTTAATTGGGTTGCTTGTTTTTTTCTTGTAAAGTTGTTTGAGTTCCTTGTATATTCTGGATATTAATCCTTTGTCAGATGTATATTTTGCAAATATTTTCTCCCACTCGACAACAGAACATTTTTAAAGTGCTAAAAGAAAAGAACTGTTGAGCCAAAATTCTATATCCTGTGAAAATATCCTTCAGGAATGACAACAAAATTTTTAAAATTCTCAGATGAAGGAAAACTAAGAGAACTGGTTGCCAGCAGAACTGCTCTTAAAACAAATGTTGCTACAAAGGAAGAGAGGAGGGGAGGAAGTGGGGAGGGGAAGAACAGGGAAGGGAGGAAGGGAGAAAAGGAATGAAGGAAAGAAAGAAAGAAAGAAGAAAGAGCCACAACAATATGTTGAGCTTTCAGAAGGAGAAAACAAATCTGTGGTTACTAGGGGTGGGGGTGGGGGGAGAGAGGGGGTTGGGGAGAGAGGGGGTT